CAAGAAGGTCTATGTTAATAACTGTATTTAACAATATAAGCCAAATAATAATTATAATGCAAAAATTATATATTAAATAAATTGGAGTAAATGATCTACAGGCATATAACTAAGGAAGGGGACTATACCGACCCGCCCCGCCCCAGCACGTGGGGCGAGAGACTATACCGACCTGCACCGCCCCAGATGTTGGGGCGAGAGACTTAACCGCCCCGCTCTATCTGGATAAAAAAACTAAATTGGTTAATTTGGGAAAAGCTGAATTATAAAAATGTCAATATTTGTGTTATAATATTATATTTGCCAAACAAATATTATTAATAATATTATGGTAATTTTACAGTTATTAGTAAATTTTATATAATATTGAATACGATTTAATGTGAAATATTTAAGTGCAAATTATATATTTATTTTTATTCATAGCCACCTTGATTTTGACAAGGTAAAACAATTAAATTTTTTGCACCAGATAGGTCGTAGCGGGTCAGTTCAGTAACTCGCCCCACATGCTGGGGCGGGGCGGGTCGGTATAGTCCCTTCCTTAGTTATATGCCTGTAGATCATTTACTCCAATTTATTTAATATATAATTTTTGCATTATAATTATTATTTGGCTTATATTGTTAAATACAGTTATTAACATAGACCTTCTTGTTATTTATAATTATAATTAACATAATACAGCTTGTACTGTTGAATATTGTTCATATTATTATGACCACAAAAATTACTTACATTACTAATGACGGCGATATGTGCTATAAATGTAAGTATTGGAAACCAGACACCGATGTTGTTGGCCCTGTCGGGCGCCGGTCTCCGTGTGTGACAAACGAGTTTATGTGCGTCCAGTCGTATCTCAAACCAGTTATTAAGCAATGCGAACAACGGGGCCAATGGGAACGCAGCCACAAAGATCGTGATGAAACCAAACTGGAGTATCATTTCCAGGTACTCCTCAAATAAGCCCTCATAGGGTATGAGCCGGTAGTCCCGTTCCCAACTAGTGTACCGGCGATTGCGATGATCGATCATGGTACGTTTACGGTGCATCCACGATTGTATACGAGGCCATATCATTTCCCGTGCGTTGTTGATTACCTTGGTAGATTAATGATACATTTGATTATAAAGACTTTAATTATTATAGATTAAAATTGTATACCTGTTTGCCAATCATGATGATTGCCAGCTGTTGTGTTAGTTCCATTAAACAACCATAGTTACTGCACTGTGTTGTGAATATAATAAAGCATTATATTAATTTAAGTTTATCTAAAAATTTTAATATCCTTTTAAATAATGTAATACAATATGATTAAATAATTTATAATTTCAAATTTTTATATCGACTTAATATATTAATAATTAATATATAAACTTTATATAAATTATTAAAATAATTATTGATATAGAGAAAAACATTTTTATTATTCAGACTCTATATGTTAAACAAATTGTATATAAATTTAAATTTATGAGATATGTCATAATATTTACTCGATAAATTAAATTAAATTAATGTAGTACAATAAATATCAAAAACCTCTTTCTTGAACCATTAAAATAGATTGATTCTACACACATATAATTTAAATACTTATATTAAAATTATTTGCAGTTTTCAATAATTATTAATCAGGTAACTTGTAAAATATTTATTTTAAGTAAAAGTAGGATAACCAACCTCTTCATTGCGTAGACCGAGGAAAGTGCCATAATTTCCAGGAGTGCCTACGAATCGGCCCTTAAAGAACGCAATGTAGAAAATGGATGAATAGAAATTGCAGAATTGGAACAGGAACACTTTGAAAGCCAACTGGTTGTCAAACTCCGATTGTGTCCGGTGCATTTCTATTACGACACAAATAGTCCAAGATATTTAATTTAAAAATCTATTTATATTATGGTAAATTAATTCATTATATAGCTAGATCATTACCCCATTCGGTGAGCCTATAGGCGAGTTTCTCATAGACTCTGCCGACACTCATAATGAGTATGAGATTAACAAAAGCACCGGAAGAGGTGGCTATGAGGGAGGCGATGGGTCTCAGGCCTGGGCTTTGAAACGATTGCATCGATACTAATATTATGCGATATATGATGACCGCCAGCATGAATATGAATACCAACATCAGCTAATGTTAATGAATAAAGTAATTATCATAATGCCTAGTAATTAGTATAAAAAATCAACATTATCAATAAATATTTAATTAATAATTAAAATATTTAGTGATTAATTAATTTTCATGATTCCAATTTATTCTATTTTAATTCTTTATAGTTAAATTTTTATAGCCATGCGTTTATAATGTAGAGTTAGTCTAATTATAACACATGTTTATACTGTACTCTAATAAAAATTAACCACAATTTAATGCACTTTTAATCCTTATTTATATAATGTAATTAACAGTAATATATGATTATGGTTTAATTACATACCATTGAAATGATGGTCATATATCCGGCTGCCATACGTAGGCACCGGACTCTATGTGGAAACGCCGGCTCCTTATGACCGGTAATGGGATTGCGCTCCAGATATGGCGCCCGAGCGCTGAACTGTGGCCGCGGTCTCTATTATCAACATTTAATTTGTTAATTTATGTTAAATAAATATTATTTAAATAATGTAATAATTATTTAAATTAATGTGTTTAATGCTTTGCAAATCTTAATAGTTATTTTTTGTATTACCAAAATGTAATTAAGTTTTAATTGAGGTGTAACACATTAATTGTAATAAATGCTATTTGTTTATTTATTTAATTAAATTAAAAATTGGTTAATGTCTAGATAAACTGTAAATGTATTATTAAATGTTTACTTATATATATTTTCTAAAACTATATTCATGGAATTGGCGACTAACACTATTAACTATTAAACTTTTAACTATTAAAAACTCCATTTATTTATAATATAATAACATTATATTATTTAAATGAATTTTAAATTAGTAACTTGTACAGGTCTAATGAAATTTACCATAAATCATATACTATTGATAATTTATTTAGAATTAATAGCTTCATTAACTTTGTAATCAATTTTATAAAATGTAATTTCATATTCAGTACTATTAAAATGTACACAAATACGAATTGTTTGAAATAAACAAACAAATGTTTTTCAAAACGTAAATAAAAATAAAATTTTTCATAAATAGTTTAGAAGCATTTTACCAATATGACCATGATCACTAAAACGCGCAGGGGCCATTTATGTGCCACTTTTGTATAGTGAGATTATACTTGAATTATAGCATGACTAATGCTATCAAATATGAATTTGTCTATAAATCGCTATATTTATAACTCATACAGTGTTGACTATTTACTATTACATTTCAACATGAGAATCCCTGACAATGATTGAATGTCATATAATACTGACCTCTTCTTCCACGCAATCAATTGAATCCCAATTGTGTGCCAACGAAGCGCTCTTACGTTTCCAGTACTCCAGAAATGCCACCGCTTTTGGAGAGAGAGAGAGAGAGAGAGAGA